TCGGAACCCTGGACAAGATTCAAGAAAGGAAGTACAAGACAGCAATTAACAACAGCCAAACAATACCAGAGAAAGTCAAGGCACACGCTGAATACATTGAAACAAACAAGCAAGTGAAGTGGAGCATTAAAACCGACAACCAAAAATACGCAAAAGAGCTAGTAACGACAGAAAAGAAGCTTCAAGAGAAGGAAATATGAGACAACTACATGACACAACGAAGAAACTGACAAGGAATCATGGTAAACCAGAGAGACCAGTCAAGGACAAAGGAGGCAAGACAAACACCGAGATTCAAGAACAGAGTTACAGATGGGCAGAACACTTTGAGGAACTCTCGAAAAAACCAGCCCCACTAGACACACAACACATCAAAGCAGCACACGCAGACCTCCTCATAGATATCACACGATCGCAGAAACCAAGATAGCCATCAGGAAAATCAAGAATGGGAAATCATCAGGACTTGACAACATACCAGCTGAAGCATGGAATTCAGACAGAGAAGTAACTGTAAACATGCTCCACACTATTCAAGAAGAGTTAGGAGGAAAAACAAGTGCCGATGGATTGGAAAGAAGGACACCTCATCAATATACATGTTAAAGATCACACATCGGACTAAAGTGCAAAGGACAGTTGATAGATACATTCCAACTGAAAACCGGTGTTAGACAAGGCTGCTTATTCTCTCCCTTTCGTTTTCTTCTAGTGGTCGACTGGATTATGAAGAGAAAGCACGGAATACAATGGAAAGCCCGCATGCAACTAGACGATTTTGACTATGAGGTTGACCGAACCCTTCTGTCCCATGCACACGAACGAATGCAGGTGAAAGCAGTCAGTGTAGCAGAAGCCTTTGCATCAGTAGGACTCCACATAGACAAGGGAAAAAGCGAGATCCTGAAATACAACACGGAGAACACCAACCCAATCACACTTGGTGGAGAAACGCTGGAAGAGATGGAAACTTCCACACATCTGGGCAGCGTCATCGACAAACTAGGAGGATCTGATGCAAACGTAAATGTGAGGATTAGCAAAGTACAGCATTCCTTGAAGAACGTATGAAACTCAAAACAACTGTCAACTAATATCAAAGTCACAACCTTCAATATGAACTTCAAGACAGCTCTACCATACGGAGCTGAAACTTGGAGAACTACAACCATCATCAAAAAGATACATGTATTTATAAACGATTGTCTACATAAGGTAAACCAGATCCGTTGACCGAATACTATCAGCAACAGCCTACTGTGGGAGAGAACAAACCAGCTTCCAGCTAAATGGGAAATTAGAAAAAGACGTTAGAAGTGGGTAAGACATACATTACGGAAATGATAAAACTGCATCACGACGCAAGCCCTAACTTGGAATCCAGAAGGGAAAAGGGAAGGGGAAGACAAAGGAACACAATGCGTCGAGAATTGGAGGCAGACATCAAAAGAATAGCAGTCGGAAACAAATGGAAAGGTTTTACCAGGACAAAGTTCGATGGAGAATGCTGGTGGGTGACCTAAGCCCTTCCACGAAGGGTAACAGTAAGTAGTAACATTGGAAAACAGAACAACATATATGAGAGAAAAATATTGTTCATATTCAGATCGTCATCAGGTTTACTTTGATATGCATGAATGTACATACGGAAGTATTAAACCTATTAGGTCAATTTATAGGTCAATGAATACTATGAAATAGATCGGATAACTGCTCATAATAGGTCAAAAGTACAAATCGATAGCAAAATGTCAGGTGTACTAGCAGTGGTTTTTATAAATTTATGAAAGTTTTAGTCAATAGTTCGACATAGGAAGCAGGCCAAACTTGGATAAATAGATAAAACAATAACCAAAAACACAGATTATGTAGTTTGTAAATAATTAGATAGTGGAGAACATAAACAGGAAGGTGGGAAATAACAGACAAACATGGGGTGAGGAGAAATGAATGAAACCACTTATTACGCCATATCCGGTCAAGGAAACGACTGAGGCGACGTGAATTTCTTCTGAGCACATGGGGTTATGGGTTCACCATAACTTCCGCTTTATGTAGGAGACAATATCGAACACCGCCAAAAATGACGGAGGTATACGATAGAACACTTGAAATTATATGATCGCCGCCAAACAGATGTGCCGTGATAGAACTGTGTATTGTCCTTGTCTTGCCTTTTCCAAACCAAGCTGGGAGATGTTCATTCATTTGTTGGTCAAGTTGCCTGATAGTATCCCCAATATATCGATCTCCGCAGAAGTAGCTGAATTTGTAGTTGCACGTAGAAGAGACAAACTCAGGTAACTTATACTTCGTTTCAGAATACATTACTCGCCTACTTGAAAATTATTGTGACTTGCGTTGTCCGAAACTTGACAATAATACACGGTATACTACGCGCCAACCCCCTCCCAACTGATAATGTAAGATTAGCTTAGTAGAATATCATATTAACTGCCCTCGCCAATCTATCAACAACATCCCCGTTGAATTGTATCTTTACAAGTAGTTCCAACTTATTTTTCCTTCCATATATGCACTTCTTTGTAAAGCTTCTCCAGTAGCTGTTTTCCGTCAGCGTGCCATTGATGAACTTTTCCCTTACTGTACCCTCTGAATAGATCTTTTTCGTCTGCTTGTGAGACATCTAACCAGATTTCTTTAGCAACGGATGAGCGCGAAACAACAGAAGTGTATATACCAACGGGTGGAGGAGCTCTTTGTGTCTTCGCATCTGCTTAACGAGCCGTTACTCCGTCTGCGTTATGAGATGTCAATGAAATTTAGTTTACTGTCATACTCGTCAGTAAAATCGATTGCCAGGTATACACTTTTAGACTGATTCAATGGTAATTCTCTAATAATATTCTGGTCTACTAAAATGAATATCCCATCGGTGTGACGGCAGTATACAACTGGTTTGTCAGTAGCCTCATTGAGGGGTCCGTTCCTTAGTTGGAGTCGGACCTCAAGGTGAGACAATAGCTATTCCATAAATCTGTCTATTGCTGAAGACAAAACAGACACTCATAGTACACTTTGAGAGAAATTCTCGAAGACTATCATCAGCAAAATTAATGATCTGTTTTTACTTATAATTGACGTGTGGACTCGGTTGTCTTGACCAGTGGTACATTGGTGAATAAAAATGATATTTATACCTCTGAAATACAACTTTTCTTATTTTTTCAGAAAAGAAGGTTATTCGCCCAAAAAAAATCGAGGTGCCAACCGAGAAACCAGTTAAAGAAAACAAACAGCCAGTCACTAGTGTCACACAGTCACAACCAATTATTGAGACACAGGCGTCTACAAAAGCAGAACCACAAGCACCGAAAGCGGTTGCAGAACCACAAACACTAGAGACTGAGAAGCAGCAAACGCCGAAAGAAGTAGTTGACCCAAAGACACCAAAAACCGAGAAACTAGAGATACCAAAAGAAATTGTAAAACCACAGACACCAGAAACTAAGGAACCACAAACTCCGAAGGAAGCCAAAAAGTTACAGACACTAGGTGAAATACCACAAGCACCGAAAGAAGTGGCTAAGACGCAAACACCAAAAATCGAGGAGCTAAAAACACCGACTCCACAGATACCAGAAGAAACCGTGGAACTACATACACCACTAGAAACTCCGATAACTCTCGCTAGTCACACTTTAGCAGAGTCAACTGTAGAAACAAAGTCGACCGGGAAGCCTCTACCACAATCGTTGAGTGAAGAACTGAAGTCGGCCATCGGTGAATCCGAACCCCCACAACCCGCGACATTCTCAGCAAACGACAAACTACCGGACGAGGTGGGCGAGGACAAACGCAGTCCCGCTGTCCATTCCCCGCCAATTAGTGAAGCAAGGTTATCTGTGGACAACAAGATGCCCCAACTACCTGACGCACAAACTTCGAAGGACGATCTTACACCCAAACCATCTACAGAATTGCCGGAGACGGGACAAGTATAAGTAGCCCCGTGGAATACATGTTCAGCTGGCCTACTAAATCTGATGGTTGCTGATTGGATTATTCTCAAGTATTTAGTGGAAGAGAACTGTGCTTCTTTTAGCGCATTCTGTTCTCAATTTTCTTTTTAAGCTTAACCCCGGGTGATGGATAGTATTTTCGTTTATTATTTAATTCAGATTTTAACTTTCGGCATAATGAGAATGGATCATGACTTTCGTGTAATGTTTCCGATATTTCGATATAATGATCAAACAAATCAGCAAGCCAGATATATTTTGAGATTTTTCAACAGTATATTCACTTACCGTTCCTTAACACATACGCTACACCACTTTAAAACCTTCTCGTACTGGATCTGTAGTTTGATATCAAGCACCGCCAAGCCAAACAAATTAGAGACCAGGAAAAGCGCCTTTTATTGAGAGTATGGCATAATAAAACTAGGATAGCACTTCAGTGCTGAGATTAAATCTTCACAAAAGAACTAGACCGTAAACAAGCTATCGAAGTTTAGTAATCGGTCTTGCACATAAACGCCAGGGAATGATTAGCCCCTAGCCTGCTATAGACGATGAGACATTAATTAAAATTTAGATGTAAACATCAGGCCGAAGATGATGTAGAACTCTGGTCATTGTCAACGGTTAGATTTTGTAAACCATGAAATTAAAGGACGATTACGGACTAAGTTGTGTGGCGCTTTTGATCGAAAAGCACACTCAACAGGTATCCATGATCCTCAAATGTCTACTAAAACTAGTAAGACAGATAAATTAGCGGAAATTATGCTTCTACAGGTAGCATAACCGAATTTGCGGATTCCCCTTACCAATTTGCACATGGCAATAGAAGCATGTTTTGTAGGTTTAAATCCTTATAATTTACATTATTTGTTTGCACTGCTCTAGTGTACGGTTTGTAAAGTGAAAGGGGATTACATTTGGACTTTTGGTGACCCTTGGGAAAAACTTGAATACCAAGTCATACACTTCGGCTTTTAAATCAACGCTAGTGTAAATTAAGCGAAAAGAACATTTTGTGAAATAGTTTTATTCTAAATGCATGCGTGACAATGATAAAAATAGTTGTCTACTAAATATTTATGAATGCCGTTACATATGATCCAACTTCCTTCAACTACGCAATGCACAACCCGTACATCTAAAAAAAATGAAATAGAGGTTGGATTGGGGCAACGATATTTGACACATAATACATATAACAGTTTTAATTAAATGTAATATTAACTGGCCATAACATATATTACCTTATACTCGCTACCAAGTGTTGAACACCGAAAACTAGCAACCCCATAATCATTGGGAATCCACCGGCCATGGAAATAACACCTTTATAACGCTTTGCTGGATCTTTCAAAGTAAAAAAAATAAATGAGTGCATATATACTTTTCAATAAGTTGACGAATAATAAGCATATCATACCACCAACTCGTGTAACATGAAAGAATTATACAGGAGAATACTATTAACCAAGCTGCTCATCGTTCACATTATGATTGACTAAAATAACCGTTCTGATCCTGACTGCAATATATTTGTTACCAGAGAGACTTGTTTTGAGAGTTAAAACTCAAACCCTACTTTCGGTCCTTATTAGTCTCGATTAACTTCAATTAGTCATGCGTTGCAACAACCAGAAGCTTGTGTTCAAATCAAATCCCTATCCAGAACGAGCAAGTTTACGGTGAATAAGTTAACTGAAATGTTGTCTACCGGTTGCTTTGTGGATAATCTCACTCATGAAAGAATGTTAAGTAGTTTGGAAAGCAGAGGACTGTGGAGACTAGCATTTAGGACTAGGGTTCAGGTTAACAATGGAACGATTTATGGGACACATGCTAAGCGTAAGACCTAATCTAAACCATAACTTTATATCTTAATCATAACCGTGAGTCCGAGATCGTAATTTCAACCCTAACCGTAAACTGTGCAACCTAATCCTAATACTAGAGTTTAAATACTATATTAGGATTGTAAGCCATGCATTTATACAGTGTTTTAAAGTGATTAAACAGAGTCCAGTGGTTTTCACTGTTACGCAACCAGTCGCTCGAGTTCGTCATAAGAATTGAGCTTAATCCGATGAACTCGCTGGACGTGCAACAAATATAAAATGTGTATATACTGTCTTACATCATACTAAACCAGTATTAGTAATCTGACGATTTCCCTATCTCCCGATTTTGGGGTTCTACCCAAAGTTTAATGACAACTGGCAGTTTCTATCCCATTCCCCTTAATTAGGGAGATTGGATTCCTGATTGATATACAGAATTTAAGGCGTACAAACTCTCAAGTTGAAATTGTAACCCACAATAAAGCACTTTAAGTGTAGGATCGCTTACCTCCGGTTGCATATCCCTGAAAATATAATAGGCGACCAAGAAGAAATACTACACCACACGCAGTATACGTCCGCTAAATTTTAAATTATGAGAAATGGCGACCTACAGGGTAACGCAAACCACCCACAAACAAGGCCATGAGGAAAAAGGGGAGAACCTCTAGACTGGAAAAGCAACATAAAACAATGTTCGACATACTAGTTTTGATGACCTCTTTGGATGCAGTTAAATACTTTGTCTGTAGGGTGGTACATTATAGGCAACTCAACGCTGTGTTCTTTGCGAGCTTGTATAACTCGGCGGGCGAAGTACATGTTTAACCCAAATGCGCTTACACCCACTAGAATTACACCGCCATAATAACGGGGTAAGCACAGTGGGAGGGAAGTCAAGGGAGGGGAAATATACTTTGACAACGACATCCTCACGAGTAACTCCGCGCCGCCAGATGTCCGCAGTTTCAATATCCAATATGCATTTGTCGTTCAAGCTCAAATGGTTCAAAATGGTTCAAATGGTTGTGGACGGAATAGAAGAAGCTTTCGCTTAACAGGCTTCCGTGTCTAGTAGCAGGGGATCACCAAATCCTCCAGGCAGGAACCTAGGTATGTTAACAATAAAAGAGGAAAAGAAATTGGTAAATCATAGTGCGATGCTGTCCTTGGTCCTTAAGAATAGGTCAAGTTGCCTCTTGAAGGACTCCTGAGAAGTCTCTTGGACTAGCTCGGCCGGCAGCGAGTTCCAGCTTTTGACAACTCTTAAGGAGTAGAAGTTGTGTCTACATTCCGTCTTGCTATGTTGTGTTTCCAGTTTCTGGGTGTTACCCCTTAGGTTATTGTTCGAACTAAGCTTAAGTAGGTGTTTAAGAGGATGTCCAGAAGTGTTAAGAATACTATAAGCCATTAATAAATCACCTCTAAGACGCCTATATTCTAGTGGGTAAAGGTCTAGTGAACGGAAGCGTTCTTCGTAAGGCTTAGATTTGAGTCCTCGAACTGATTTCGTGGCTCGCCGTTGGATACGCTCCAAAGTGATCTTATCCTTTTGGAGTGAGGGAGGGAGTACTATGTTTCCGTACTCTAAATGGGGACGGATGAAACTATTGAAGATTGTGTGGAAAGTTCTTCCGTCAAACTGACCAAAAATGCGCCTCAACGTTACCAGTGCAAGGTTTGCTCGGAAGGCATTTTTGTCACAATTAGCGTAAGACTTTAAGTCATGGGGCACCAGGACTCCTAAATCTTTTTCGACTTGGGATACTACTAGAGAGGAGTTTCCTAAGTTGTAACTGTAGTTTGCGACATGTCGCAGATGGACTACTTTACACTTAGAAGTGTTAAAGGTAAGTCCGTTATCGTCTGCCCAACTTTGAAGTCGAGTCAGATCCTCTTGAAGTGCCTGTATATCGTCTTGGTTGCGTATCTCTCTCCAAAGTTTCACGTCGTCGGCAAGAAGTAATAAGTCTGACGTTACCTGTTGAGGAAGATCATTTATGTAGATCAAGAAGAGAAGAGGCCCTAGTACTGAGCCCTGGGGGACCCCACTAGGACATTCCATAGCTTGAGATAAAGTGAAATTAACCCTAACCTTAAAGTGTCGATTTTTTAGGTATGAAGTAAGCCAGTCGGTTAGAGGTGGTTTGATACCTAGTCGTTTGAGCTTGTTGATAAGACACAAGTGGTTAACCTTATCAAAAGCTTTTGAGAAATCAAGGTAAATGACATCAACCTTTCCCTTGCGATCGAGGATGCTTGTCCATCTGTCCACCGCAGTCAGCAGGTTGGTTATACAAGAGTAACCCTTCCTGAAACCATGCTGTTGGGGTGAGAAGAAATTTAAGGACAGTAGATAGTCATTTAAACCGTCGCATATCATGGACTCCATGAGTTTTGAAGGTAACGACAGAAGAGCTACCGGCCGATAACTTGAAGGTTCATTGCGTCGACCACCTTTGAAAATTGGTGTGATGTGAGCCAACTTCCAATTTTCCGGTAATTTGCCTCGGCTAAGCGAGTGTGAAAACATCACGCTAAGCGGCGTTGCCAGGATTGAGGCTGCCTCCCTCAGTATGGCAGGATGAACCATATCCGGGCCAGGAGAAGTGTCAAGTCTTAAGTGCTGCAGTTTCCGGAACACCAAGTCAGCGCTTAGGTCCACTTCAGAAAGTCCTGTGGAATTGCAGATGAAACTGTCGTCAATAAAGTTGATGTCAGCCGGTTGAAATGTTTGAGAGTAATGTGCCGCCAGAAGGTTAGCGGCGTCGCCATCATTGTTGGTCGGGCCGTTAAGACCTAGCAGTTGAGAAACTCCTGTTTTGGCTTGACGAAGAGAGGCTGCGTAACGGAATAGGCTTCTAGGGTTAGAGGCGAACTTGTCCATAAGCTTTGTTTGGTACTGAAGCCTGTCTTCTCTTATAGCCTTCGTGCATATGTTCCTGATATGTTTATATTGCCTATACGCTCCATCGTTATTAGTTCGTTTGTATTCCGCCCAACAGTGCCTTTTGCGGCTTAGCAGGCGAAGGGTACGGTTCTTGATTACTGTAGGTGGCTTGAAGCTTTTGGGAACCGTTTGAGGAACTGAATGGTCTGTAGCACATAAGAGCGTGTGCAGTAAGAAGTCCCAATGACCATCCACATCGAGTTGAGGGTGAACATCCCAAACCACCTGTTGTAGATAGTCATGTAAAGCTGGCACATTCAGCCGTTTAAAATTCCAACGCAAATTATTGTTGGGATACCTTAGCTTAGTTTTGATGACAAAACTGAAGGCTATGACGGCATGATCGCTCTTTCCCAGAGGAGCCAGGATTGAGAGGTTGTCGACTAGGAATTCTTCGTTAGTGAATACACAGTCTAAGCGCGATGGTGTCTGACTGTTTCTCCAACGAGTTGCCGACCTCACATTTTCATATAAGCCCAAGTTATCGATGAGGTTGAAGAACCGAGCTTCAATTGAGTTGTCGCCTCCAGTGTACGTGTGTTCCGCGAAGTTGACTCTAGGGAGATTAAAGTCCCCTAGAATCAGGATGTGTGTGAAACCGAGACGGATAGAGCGGGATAGTCCTTCCAGCATACGACTATCGTACTCGATGTCGGCAGTTGGCTTCCTGTAAATGACTCCGACTAGACACCTGGAAGTACTAGACAACCTTACAGAGCACCATATGGATTCCTCAAGATTGTTAAACTCGAGGTTGTGAACCTGGTGCACCTCCAAGCAAGAGCTTATGTATATGGCTACTCCGCCCCCAATTCCTATTTTTCTGTCGTTGCGGAACAAAGTCATCCCAGGTAATGCTAACTCTTGGTCCGAGAACTGAGAAGATATTCAGGTTTCAGATATTCCTATCAGATGGGCCTTGTTAGCGTTGCTAAGTTCACGTAGTTCATCCAGTTTGTTTGGTAGACTCGCGGCGTTCATATATAAGCAGTTTATGCTTTCAATTTGGAACGCGTGAGCTTCGTCCTGTTTTTCTGTATGAACCTTATGTGAATGGACAGGTAGCCCACCTATATGAGGTTTGCCGAGGTGGTAGGCCCTGTCCTTTACAAGTTTTTTTATCGTTTAGACAGTCCACAAGTGGAATGGTCAGCTCCAACTTGCCTTTGTTCTTGGTCCTGACTTCGTATGGCCTATCCGGGTGCATGTGGATTCCAGGTGGCAATCGACGTCTATTAGCACGAAATGCTTCCAGAACTGCAGCCGCCATGTGGGAAGATGGGAAGTTTATCTTCATTAGACGGGGTCTAAGATCACCGTCCTTCTTGGCTAGTCTCGTCACATGCTGAGTCAGTATGTGTTTGAGCCTCAAGGACTGTTTGATGAATTTCCATTCCCTGATGTCAGAATTTGATTGAGTAGGGTCTGCATTTTCCGGTATACCTTGGACAATTATATTTCTTCCGCGGAAAAACTTCTCGCGAGATTCTTTAGGGACGTTTCGTATGATATTGCGCTCAGAGTACGGTATGTCGGGCAATATTCTTACGTTACCATCTGATTTCAGTAAGTGACTTGCTAGCAAGACGTCCTCTACGTCGGTAGCATTCTTAAGTGTTACTCGGAGAAGCCTCGGGTGATTTAGATGCTTAGAATCCTTTCCTCGAGTGAGCCGGGTGACCGTCAAAGGCTCTATTCTAGGAAGTTCGTGCTTCTTGTTCAATTCACCACACAGCATCCTGTCTTTTTTATCCTGCAGACTGAGAGGAAGGTCAGGATTGTCGACGAGGTTCATGATAATGAAAGAATCGTCACGAACTGTTGTTAATTTACCAGGTTTCACGATGGGTTCACGTTTAATAACTTGTTGTTTGGAGGTCAGTGTGCGTTTATGAATCTTGGGCTCTTTATTGACCGGACGAACAGTCTTGGGGGTAGACTGTGCGACTAAATCACCAGTTATTTTCCGTGCAGCAACACTTGGGTTGCTCGGCTTAGGCGATGATGCCTGGTTCTTTTGGGCTCTCTTAACGTGGGTCGAATCACCTGCAGGGTTTTTGGGAACCACTGTTGGGTTCAGGGACCCTGAGCTAGGAGACCCGAGTTTGCCTAGGGAGTCTAGTACCGTCGACGTAATGATGGTACTGAGCCTCGACACGTCGTCATTAGTGTTGATGGATGCTCCATCGATGGTATACCTATCGACATCCCTATTTTTGAGTCCGTTGCGCGCTCTTGTTTGTATATCGGTTTTTTTACTGTCGTGTTCCAAGTTAACTGACAGCTTGTTCCGAAGACCTGTCAGTAGGACAATGATGTTACTCAGCAAGACTACTACGTCCGTGTTGCACGTGACACATACCCACTTTTGGTCTGACTTGCTGAGTCTGTTGTAGGCAGTTGCTGTCAGATTTGTGCATGCTTCGTGGAACCAACCTTTGCAGTTGTCGCACTGCATGCCAGTTGTGACAGCAAAACGGCATCCCGGACGTTTGCATGAGTTCTTCATGACGGTGTTGAAGCAAACTATGTTATAGATGCTTGCAAAAGCTTAAGACCTTTTTTAAAAGAAAACACTAAAATGCACACTGAAAACGGACAAAAATGGACAAAACGAGTGATATAAACTGAAACTAGTCTATACGTGAAAAACAAAAAAAAACCGAATAGTAAGCTGAGGCAAAACCACAGGTAACTATTAAATATAGTGAAACTCAAAAAAAAGTAATCTACCGAACGTATAGCTCAGGATAGATTCTTTAGAACTTAAATGGTACTTTTGTTGCGTAAGAACACAGCAAAAGTTTGATATATGCAAATCACGATAGGACTAAACTTCCCGTTCGAAAAAAGCTAAACTAAGTAATTACTTTACACTTTTGATACAGTGTTAAGAAGCGATTCCTTGAATTTAGAAACATGCGGTGAAGGGTTATAGCTATTAGTTAAAGCATAAACCAGAAAATGTTGTAGTATGTGGAAAAAAGTGGGAGTTCATGTCTTCAGTAAATGGTCCAAATGGTTCTGC